CCCCCGTTGACAGTTCACTACCGTGCTCTACCAATTTGTGTGGGCTGGGCTGGGTGAGATTCCAGGGCTGATTTTTAGTCCCGGTCCGCCCCTGCCTCCACCTAACTGTGTGTGTGCGGGTTTTCCGCATTGACTTTGATCAAAAGCAAGTACCGGTCAAGGCTGCAGCCAGAGGATGATCTGCGTCTACATTGCATCCCCGCATCATCCGCCTGCGCGCATCAAAGGCGCAGACTCATTGTTCCCACTAAAGTAGGGGTGAGTGTAATAAGGAGGCAAAGTTGACGTTCAGTGTGTTGCCGGGAGCATATAAGGATTTATCCACCATGTTGAAAATGTTAAAAATGTTTAAAACATAAAGATAAAAAGGGCATGTGTGGCGTAGTGGGTTGTCCGTAGGTGTTAGGATCAGGGGTCACAGGTTCAAACCCCACTGCAGTCAGCATGTCGTTGTGTCCCTGGGCAAGACACTTCCCCCCAAATTGCTCCTGTGGGGATTGTCCACAGTATTGAGTATGTAAGTCGCTTTGGATAAAAGCGTCTAACAAGTGACATGTAATGTAATGTAATAAAAAGGTTTTAAAAAGTTATTGTTTAATGTTTTAAGGAGGTGACGCTAATCAGCCAATCAAATCGGTGCAGTCAGTGAGTCAGCACGAAAGATTCAAACACACACACACAGACGAGAGAAGAAGAGAGAAACAGTCGGAGTCATTTCAAATGGCGTGCTCAAAAAAGAGAAAGGTAGACAGCAAAAATGGAGCATTTCATTACATTTTCTCTTACTGGACCTCTTTGAAATGCAATTGAATACCCCTGCATTATAGCAACAACAACAACAACAATAATAATAATAATAATAACAATAATAATTGGGAGGGGGGGCGCAGCTGTTCTTATGTTCTCTGAGGGGAGGCTCACCTTCCCACACTTTGAAAACCCCTGCTCTATATTATTGTCTGCTTTGAGCACTTAAATAAATGCAATTAATTATTAATAGTATCATGTTAATCACTAATGATTTCTAATCCCCTGCAATTCTTCTTAAATATTTGTAAACTGTCCTCCCATTTAAATGCAAGACACAATGTGATCCAGCATTTTCACACATTCCCATTACTGCATTTTGTTTGGTGGGCATTAGCATTGCAGAGGTATCATTTGTCCTCTTAGTTTGATTTGACAGCATTCAACCTTGGGGTGTAAAAGAAAAAAAAAGAAAATAGAGAAATAAAATCATAATCTATTCTTGCCTGTGTGTAATCCAGACGGCTGCCCCAGAGAGCAGCGGCAGGGTCCTGGTCTCCGGACACGGAGGGGTGGAGCTGGGGGCTGGCTACCGTCTGGTTGGAATTGCGCTCTGACACAAGCGCCATGCTGGAGGCCACTGAGACCTCCTCCCCAAACTATGAACAAAGAGAGAAACAGAAAGAACTCAGACACAGAAACTGAAGGAACATGTTCACAGGTAATGATGCTGTGTTTGTTAGCTTCCTTCAATTAATATCCACTGAAATAGTCCATGGAGGAAACAGATTTTGTGTGTTATGGTCTTCCTTTAAAACTTGGTTACTAATCACCAAGTACATTGTCATAATGAAAAACTCACTTGAACAAAGCTGACATGCTCAAACAGATCGCCACGGTGATAGCGCACAGGCAGGTCAAAGGGGCAGTAGAGGCTGAGATGCTTATAACCCAGACGACACATCTGATGGTTCCCTGGAGAACATACAACAAACAACACTCAGATGGTTCTCTACACTTCAGTCTCAACAATATACACTATTATCAAAGCTAACAAATACATTTAAACAAATTGCACAGAAGGCTTGCTAACGCTTGCCTCCCATGAGTTGATACAGTACAGTCACATTGTTCTCTACTCAATTGACAATTCTGTTCTCTGAAGCCAATAGTAAAGCGTTACCTTTCTCCAAAATGATAAATGTAAGTTCACTGCAGAGAACCTGTCAGTTCATCAAATGTGTTTGTCATAATTACGAACATCTGCATTCTTTAATCACAGCAAGTCGACACATCTTTTCTGTACAGCAAAAGTAATGAGCTTTTCTGCAGTGAGAAACTCTTCTATATCCCAAAAGTGATGTCTTGCACACATTAGGTGTTCTCAGTTCCATGTGCGTGGCACCTTACCAAGTTGGGCTTCTTTGGCCATCTGGGTCTCATGGATAATGTTGCGCAGGATCTGCTCTTCCTGCAGCAGCTTGTGTTTGTCCAGTGCCTCCTGCTGGCGGAGGTAGTGATCATGCTGCTTCTGGTACTCCTTCAGTTCATTCAGTGTCCGCTGCAGGGATCTAAAAATAAAGTAAAAATGAAGAAGGGGAAACAGGACAGGCAGAAATGCATAGCAGGGAATAAAACATTAGAAACAGATCATCCGACAACAAGAAGACCTATGTCGATCATCGGTATCTGCACCAAATCCACTCTGCATTCATGAGCAACTCTCTGCCAGCTCAGGGGACTTTCAGATTTTGAATGCTACATAAACAAGTCCATGTGCGAGAAAAACTTCCCTAAATGAAGAAGTGTCTTGGTTTTACTTTTATCACTAAAAAAACCCCAGTAGTGATTAACACCCTAACATTTCTAAAAAGTCCCTAGTAGTCTTAACTTCTAAGCAGAATAAAAGCTTGTTTACAAATAATTCAATTCAACATTTTCACTTTCAGGGAACTGAACTGGTGACAGAAAGAGGGACAATAAAGAACGTATTTTCAGATCTAACCCAAGATCAAACATACTGTTACAGTGGAAGTTTGTTGTTGATGGTGCTTCACAGATGTTTGAAAAGGTCCATATACTGTATATTGTGTGTATTTACGAGTGGTTGCTTACCTGTGCTGGGCTTCCAGGCGCTGCTCCAGCTTTTGCTGACAGAGCACGGCATGTTTCCTCCTCAGGGCCTGCTCGAAGCCTGGCTGGGCCTGCAGAGCCTGCTCGTAACACAGCACTGAGTGGTTGTATTCCCCAAGCATCTGGTCAGACAGCAAGAGAAGAGGACACAAACACAAACACGGATACAGCAGTGGTCAAACGCAGGAGATTTCAAGCTAAAGTCGTTAAAATATAGATATATAAATATTTGTATTTTGCTGTACCTATACATTCAGTAAATAGTATCTTCTATATGTAAAACAAATACAAAAAATAGCTGACTTCTGAACTCTGTCTTATTTGTGTAACGGGAACCCTGAAACTCACTAACAGATGGTAGGAAAGCCAAAAATCCTTATCAATAAACGTGCCAACTCATCACACTCCTGTGGGCCACTGTAGCAATAGCACAGGAATAAAAGCACAGGAATGAAAGCTAGACTACTTAGTTAAGACTCAATTTGTTTGATATTACATTTACATGATAGACTTCAAAAGTCAGCAGACTATCTTGTTTTGTGAGATTTTACTTTAACATTATGCAAAATATATGTAGCAAGCCTTATGCAAGATTTGTAGTGACAGTGTGGAAGCAATAGCTGTTGTTCAGACACCAAACGTAATGACTAAGTTAAAAGATTGTAAGGCTGTGGGTTAAATACACAAACGGTGTAATCTTTTTTCCCTCCAACTTACAGCATAAATGTTGCCTAAGGTGTAGTGGCTGGTGAAGAGATCTGAGGTAAGGTCCAGGGCAGCGTGAGCAAGAATAGCAGCGTCAGCTGAGAAATGGGCACGGTGCAGGATGTTGGCCATGTTGATTAGAGCTACATCCTTGTGCTCCCTGCAAGAACACACACACACACACACACACACACACACACACACACACACACACACACACACACACACACACACACACACACACACACACACACACACACACACACACACACACACACACACACACACACACACACACACACACACACACACACACACACACACACACACACACACACACACACACACACGAATATGAAAACCTTTGAGTAGTTTGACACAATAAACTGTAAACTACTGCAGTGGCCTTCTGTCCTTTACCTTGGAGAGAAATGCAGAGCACGAACCACACAGTCCACTGCTCTCTGGGGCTCATTCTTCATACGCCAGTAAAAAGACGCCATGTTGTAAAGCACCCAGGACGAGGAGTTCTGTAACACACAATCATTAAGATTACCATCACACACACAATTTCCACTGCTTCAAAAGGACTGACTGCTTATTGTAAGATATCCATCTATGGAATCTTTGTTCTCAGCAACAATAATAATATAATATAATAATAATTATAATAATAATAGTCATTGGTCTTCTTCGCTGCTTTTGGTGTATTTTGTGGCGGAAGAACAGCGCCACTTACAGGCCCAGGCCCGGCATATGTACTACAGCGTCTCCTGTGTGTCGAGCGGTCTCGTGTGAACGGACACGTTTCTTGAGTCGTTTCCGTGAGGACGGAAGACTTATTTGAAATCAACTTCGGTTCGAAATCGTTTTCTAAGTCCATGGTATTCGTATGGTTTAGTGAGTTAAAGCCGTGCAGGCAGACCTTACCCTCAGTAAGCCGTGATGGATGCGATGGCCCACATCATCCACACTGCGGCCCAGTTTATGAGACAATGAACTAAAAATGGGATCCTCCTTAGAAAGCAGTGGGGAGGTCAAGTTTGCCCTCTCCTGCACACCCTGGAACAGAAACAAGGGAAGTGAGCTAAATGCAAACATGTGATCAGTCACACAACAGTTTCATCATTGTTTTGTCCATAACAAGCAGAGCACCAAATATCTCAACTGACAGAATGGCTTTCTGGAATTCTAAGAAAGTATTTTACGTCTCGATAAACAGCACACTTGAAATAAAGCCTTATTCAAATAAATATGATTTAATGGTGAGCACCCAGTGGACTTTTCATGTGAGGTAAGACAATATATGTGTGACTGAATGAAATAAGACAAAGCGATACAGGTTTGACACTATGACCATATTTAAATATAGAGTTTGTTTATTGTTACTTGCTCACAAAAACAACATTTTTACCCAAAAAGCCTATTTTTTTTTTTTAAATGTAGTCCGACTTGAGCTCGACCTAAAGATACAATCAAGTTGTTTTCTTGAGCCACAGACAAAGATAAAAATGATTTGCATATGCCCAGAGCAGAGACCATATCTATTGCTAAAATGACAACAGAATATAAATGAACCTATAAAGGACTTACATCATACCAAATAAAGAACCTTATTAGTAAACTGCAACAAAGGCTTAGCTTTTTCTTCGGAAACACAGCCAGCTTCTCTCTGAGCTTTACTGGATTATTGGACTGTCAATTACTGACATGCAGCATCCACTCAAGGCCTTTAGCGTGCATTTGCCATTTTAGGGTCATTACTGAAGATAATTTCAATACTCCCTAGTGCATTGTATTTGATAAGGGCGGATGGTCTTCCCTTTTTAAGAAACGTAATAAACTACAGTCATAAATCCGCAAAGACCTTGTCAGAATATGTCTTATCTTTGGTGCACTTGATCTATGTCCAGGCCTAACTTGCTATAATGACCAGCTGGTGCTTCAGTAACCCTGTACCATACTGCTGTTGATGTTAGCAGATCACCGGTTAAACATTTAAATATGCAAAGCCAACCAACAAATCAAAACACATTCAGGACCATGTTTGACTATCATCCCATATCTTAGCTATGACTGATTTAACTGTGAACCCATTTTCTGGTTGCAATTTATTTTCTCCTGTATGCCTTTGTTCTTGCCTTAACGTAAATAATCTACCAGAGTAAACAGAGCGCTGCTGTAAAATGTCAGCTCGACAAAACTAAAGGTTAAATACACTCCCAACAGATTGCTAACTTTTAATGAATAGAAATGCAGGGTATATGCAGGAATCCTGAAGTCAAATGAAAGACCTTTTAAGACCTTTTTTAAGACCCTTTCCATACATTTTAAGACCTCATCGCCACTTGGAGTTTTAACCGGTTACATTGGCGACACACTTTACCTCACATTGACTATATACAGTATTGATTGTCCTTCCTCCTTATCTTCCAACCATTTGGACGCAGACTTGCATTTCCCCATAACGATGTTGTTTAACAACCGGCGGAAACGGAGCTTCGTGCACTATCAAGCAGTGAGCGTGCAATGTCCTGTTCAGATGACGTCAAGTCCAACGGGATGCCATAAATAAACTACACAGAATCACACTACACACCTACGCAATGATTACATTCAGGCAGACTGTAGAATACAACCTCTTTGGACAATTAATATACTTATTGAAAACAAGCTACAAAATGCCTTGGAAAATACCGTTTAATACTTTTTAATAGCCTTCATTTTCGCTAAATTGATTTATCAACTTTTAATACTTTTTAAGACGCCGTGGACACCCTGACATGGAAGAAATCTTCTTTTAAACAAACCTGAAGTGCATCCCCACCTTTAAAGAGGTTAAAACTGACTTATTCTAACTAAAGTTGGATCGGTTGGCCTCTACTCACCCTGAGATGCTGGAAAGCATGGATACTATATGGTAGTTCAAACACCGCACAGTCAGGCTTTTCTAGATCTGGGGGCAGAGCTGACCGAGAATCCACAAAATCTTCAGGGCTATAGGAGAGCAGAGAAATCTTTTTAGAACGACAATTTTATCACTATCATAGAGAGACACTGAACACACTTGTAATGATGCCCGAACCACTTTGCAACATACATTGTAGAGATAATAAGCAAGTCGGCAATGACCTGTTTTATTGAGGAGAGCTTACCTGATGTCTTTGCTTTCTAGGGAAATATAAGTGCCATCATAAAGGTCCAGGTCTCCCAGGGGAACCTTAGCCATGACACAGTCTGCATCCTCTTTGTAGTGTCTCTGTTCCAGCCCTGTGTCTCTATCCTCATTCTCTTCAATGTGAATTTTTTGCGCCACAAGCTGTTTCTGCTCATGAATAAACAAGCACAATCCATCAGAGGAATAGTAAGCAAACGAAATGGACACCTGACACAATAAATAATGGATATAAATAAATAAAGTAGTGATGGAAGGCAGTAATGTTCGAAATAAGAGAATGCTCTATTCCTCCGCACATAACTGAGATCAATGTTACCTCATTTATATGCACAAATTAATCTGAATGCAATAAACAATTATGATAGAGGAATTACTCAGAACGAATACTCAAAGAGAAACTCACTGAAAACATGTTTGCACATGAAACTGACAAAGTGAAAGCCACACTCACTTCCAGCTTCTTAAGGTAGTTAACACGAGTCTCTTGCCTCATGAAGATCACAACGTCTAGTGGATGCTTCAGATTCAAAGGTGAGTCAACCTGAAAACGAAGATACAAAATAGTTTGGTAAGGCGGATCATCTACTCACCATATTAATTCCGATGGCAAACAGGTTACCGAGTGGAATAATCCAGTCGATTGAAATTATATTAGGGGACGTCGGAAATAGTCTATACATCTTTAAATCCTGATGCAACGTTACAAATCGCCAGCTCAGCCCATTACAGCACTAACACGACCTTTATTTCTGGATGAAGGTAGCTGGGTGACACTTGTCACCAAAACAATGCCTTATTCCTGGCATAATAAATACGCGGTTTACAACCCAGACGTTATCATGGGCATGTAATATATTGGTCATGTTGACCTCAAACACCTAACGATAACGTCAGGTTTGAGGTGGCCAATGTAAGCTAACTGACTTAGCAAAACAGTATATTGTTAACGCTACCTCCTAACCTTATGTAACGTTACCGAGGCTGGCATACTGGCTTTGCTGAGTTTGAATAAAACACTAAATGTACGTTGACAAACCACATAACAAAACGTTACCGTTAATTCTAATAAATATAGCTTTACAAGCTAGCCACCTAACGTTCGCGTTAGCAGGTCAATGAGCTAGCGTTTACTGTCATACCTGTTGTTGTATTTTTCCATCCTCTGTGACAACCCAGTGGGTCGTAGCTCCTCCGGTGTCCACTTTAAGTATGCAAAGAAGTATAAAAAGCTTCCCCTGGAATGACGTTTTTCGCGAATAGCTTAGACGACAGGGCAAAGACTCAGGACAGATTTTCCTGACGTCCGCCATTTTTCTGTCTCATTTTGCTCTGTGGCAAAGGCGGGCAACCTCCGGCCACCGGGCGGCGCTCCCGTTCACACCGGGCCAAAACTCAACAGGTTTACTTTGATGACGTCTGGAAAGGAAAACAGGAAACTCTGTAGAAACGAAAAGTTCGATACGTTTTCAAGGCAAAGGTGGGTAGAATTACATTAAAAAATCATTTCTGCTTTCACAAATAGAGCCAGTACCTGAACATTGTTGATGCTAAAGAGGAGGCTTGTTTGCTGGTTAGTACGTTTTCTTTGAATCGCTCTTTAGCGCAGTGATGTACAAACTTGCAGTTCCGCATCCATGGGCATGACTACCACATCAAGTGACAACATTGTTCATTGTGTTCAATTATGTAACTGCTATGATAAAGTGTGGAATAATCTCAGTGTTCGCTAAGGTGCCACTCGTTAAGTAAGGGCCTTGATAACTAACGACATATTTTAAACTTGTCAATATAGGTGCAGCTTCACCTGAGTTTAGCATGAGTTGACAACGCCAATGACTTGCTATTTAAATATATTCCTAGATATTTGAGCTGCACTGTATTTGGGTTGACAGTAGTATGTTTTTGAAAAAAACAGAAAATGCATTAATTCATTAATCTCAAGGTAAAAATTCAGGATTCAAGATAATTGTCAGTTGATAGTTCAGGAAGTTGATGGTTAGTAGGGTAAGGTAAATCCTCGATAATCCTGTGTCCCTTTTCTGTTACATTCAACATTTCTGAGCTTTGTTCAGTACTTTTGTAGGATACCTTCAATGGTTGATGATGCAAAACATTGAATACTGTAACATAAAACACAAGGCTGTATTTCTTTTACCATTTCAGGCCTTCATTTACCATTTTTGTCTCACTCCACAGATGGCCTGCTTTGGAAGCAATAAGGGAAGTTTGGAGGAGGACAGCTATGATGGACCTGTTGGTGGAGAGCTGTCCGGCTGTGCGTTGGCAATGCTGGAAAAGGAGCGAGAATCCCTCCCCAGCCCATCAGAGAGCCCTGGCAGCAGCAGCATCTCTGCAAGTCTTCAGGCCGCTGCCCCCATCCAGGGCTATGATGTGGAGTTCGACCCACCCTTAGAGAGTAAATACGAGTGCCCTATCTGCCTCATGGCTTTAAGGAATGCCATTCAAACACCCTGTGGTCACCGTTTCTGCAAGAACTGCATTGAGAAGTCTATTCGGTATGCTATTATACAACCTTCTAAGAATAAATGTGCTCTAGGTACAGTGTGCCTAAAAAAGGCAAAATGTTCACATTCCTGCATACATATTGAGCACAATGCAGAAGCTGGCATTCTTTGGGCTTTTACCTAAAGTATACATGTTCTTCCTCTTGCAAAACAGTGATGCAGGACAGAGGTGCCCTGTGGACAATGCAAGACTGTCAGAAGACCAGTTGTTCCCGGATAACTTTGCCAAGCGGGAGATTCTGTCGCTAATGGTTCGCTGTCAAAACTCTGGCTGTGCTAACAGAATGGAGCTCCGACATTTGGAGGTGAGCATTATAAACTAAAACAGGCATCATGGATTTCAAATGCAACCAAATGCACGAAAAACAGATAATTTAGTAAACAATTCAAGGAGTTTACACAATTACTTTTTGTAGCATAGTTCGCTTTGAATTATATGTACATCGTTGTTATTACTTGGATCTGTTAAGTTGCTGTCTCATAACATGTTATTGTGATCACTTATGGTTCCATCCATCTCTAAAAAGAACTGCGTCAATAACATATCGTAATAGAAAACTGGCAAGAAATAAGCTACTTCCCTTGTCTACACCTACTTAGTCAGGACAGAAACTTCCTTCAGGCGTATTTGGCATCTACATAAATGATAAATGCCAAATAAGAACAGAATTCTTCTCTGGTTTGAACTATGTTATGTGAACCGTTGCGGTTTTACTACACAATAACATTAATTGCATTGTTTCAATATCTTTTTCCTCCCAGAAACATATGGCGAAGTGTGAGTTTGCCACAGTGCCCTGCCCGCAGTGCCAGCAGTCTGTGAGACAGAGCCAGATCGAGGAGCACACAACTGTGGAGTGCACGAGGAGGCCTGTGTCATGCCCAGATTGTCTGGTGTGCTTTGTTCACGAGGAGAGAGAGGTAATGTGAACTCACTTATCTATTTGCTCTCATTGGAAAGTTATCAGCTGAATTGTTAATCAGCGGGGATTAGTCTCCTTACAATCTGTTTTGGTTTCTCATCAGCTTCATGAGCAGCAGTGTCCCTTTGCCAGTGTGAAATGCCAGTACTGTGAGATGGATCTCCTCAGAGACCAGGTGAGCAATACAATCACAAAATATGTTAAAACGTGGTGAATCAAAATATTAGTTGGCAATGTTCATTAAGTTGATTGTTTTTTTTATACAAAATTCATAGAGTTGTGTTGGAAGTTCCAAAAAACAACAAGAAAACGTATCTCTGATTCAATATTCACATAAATAAATCAGTTCTAAATACTTCAAAATCGCTTGTTACGTTTCAAAAGGCATTGCATTCACTATTTGGGTAAATTGGGCAGCTTATACGTTCCCACTTTTATTGTTATGTATTTGATATAATATGAAATATCCATACAATATGTAACTTAGTCACGGGTCAACAGTTTAATGTTGAAAAGGGAACCCTTTTTAAGGGAACTTATTTTATCAGCAACTTTGTTAAAACAATGGGGAACCGTTACACACCTAGTCACTTTGAATGTCACAGCTGATGTGGGCTTCCACCAGTTTCCACAGCAAGTGCCATTGATGATATGTAAATGTATTTCTGTTTAAGACAGGAAATGTGTCTTGTCTTTCACTTTCGCCACAAATATGCTATGATAATAATATAATATATATTGATAACTGACTTGTTGGAATCCTGATTTGAATAAATAGATCTAAATGAAACTAAACTGATGATGTTTTTGTTTCAGATTGAATCTCATTGTGATGCAGATTGCCCAAAAGCACCCATCGCCTGTAACTTTAGCACCTTTGGATGTAAGGAAAGGGTATGTAATCAAGTTCAAGTCTTATACTTACGTTGAAAAACATCTTTGTTCTTAGTCGCAGATGTCACAAAGACAAATGTTTTGCCTGTGCAGATGCAGCGACACAACCTGGCTCAGCACATGCAGGAGTTCACTCAGATGCACATGCGCTACATGGCCGAGTTCCTGCGTGGCCTAAGCCTCAATGGCACCACACCCAAATCCCTGTGGACGCTAGGACCATCTGTTTCCTTAGAGGATCAGGGAGCAGGAGCCACAGCAGCAGCCTCAGCCTGCAGCGGGCCCCGAGGAGCCGCAAGCTGCAGCAGCAACTGTGGCCCCAGTCCGCCTACTGAGGAGGTCCAGAAGCTCAGGGACTTGGATGGACGATTGGTAAGGCAGGATCACCGGCTGCGGGAGCTCGTTATCTTTAAAGAAACACAGGTAAATGATGTCCTCGGGCCTTGACAGTATATCTTTACTGTGTGTGTGTTTTTGTAAGTGTTTTTAGCATAATCTAAGAGATTTTGAACTGATTGTGTCTGCACAGGAGTGAGCTGAGCCACAAACATCTCATGGAACAAACTTACTTAAAAATAAAAAAGATAGCGCTTTTCCTGGTGCTCAAAGCGCTTGACAAGCAAGTAAAAAAAAAATAACAACAAAATAAAAAAGTGCTAAGCTAGGTGGAATAAGGGCAAAGGGTTAGTGGATTAGGAGTTGAAGGCAAGAGTGAAAAGGTGATTGTTTGAATGATGTGAGAGTGTTGGTGGATCTGACGTAAACTATTGTTCCCTCTCTTTTGCAGTCCGGCCACATTGCAGAGCTCAGGCGCCGAGTGTTGTCGCTGGAGGAGACGGTGAAGGAGCTGGAATCACAGCAGTGTCACGGTATCTTCATCTGGCGCCTTAAAGGTTTCTCCTCCCTCCTGCGGAACCAAGAAGCAAGCCTGCCTGTGGTGGAGCACAGCCCCGGCTTCTACACCGGTCGCCCCGGCTACAAATTGTGCCTGCGCCTACACCTGCAGGCCCCCAACGCCCCGCGCTGCTCCAACTACATCTCCCTCTTCGTCCACACCATGCAAGGAGCTTTTGACGGGCAGCTGACGTGGCCGTTCCAGGGAACCATCCGCCTCACCATCCTGGACCAGGGCCCAGAGGGTCAGCACCACATGGAGGTGATGGAGACTAAACCTGACCTGCAAGCCTTCCAGAAGCCAACCATCCAGCGCAACCCCAAAGGATTCGGCTACGTCACCTTCCTGCACCTGCATCAGCTGAGTCAGAGAGCCTATGTTAAAGATGACACTCTGCTCATCCGCTGTGAGGTCACACCGCGTTTTGACAATGTGATTCACCGCGAGGGCCCAGCAGTGCAGCCTAGAGGACCAGAGGCCACAATTTCGAGAGACTAAAACCTAAAACTTTAGTTTGGATGTCAGCGAGGTAGTTCTGCCATTGTTTGAATACCACTTACTTCATATGAATTCATACACATTAGGATGAGGTAATTGTATGTTCACACACATTTAAATTTTGGACTATGCAAATATTTATTTGTTTCCCAGCTTTCAAATGTCAGTGTGTTTTTTTTAAAAGTACAATCTTTTTATTTTACATTTGAAATTAATGTTCTCACCCACAAGGTACCCACAGTCAGCACACCTCATAAGTACATGTTACAAGTACATAATAGACAATTATGTCAATCAGCTAAGAATGGCCATCCGCTCTTGTTGTAGCTGTTGGGAAACGCACTGAATGTTGAAGAGCTCCCCGTGGAGCTTTTGACCCGGCGGGCACTATAGATCATTTTATTCTATACACCATCTTCTAGTAGGAGACACACAGATTCACATGTATGCACGAGGACATGTGGGTGATGAGACAGACATTCGTAATGACTGCAGAGGGTGGTGACAAAAAAAAAATATATAGATGTTGTTGCCCTCACCAAATTATTTTAAAGAATTGTTCAAATAAACATCTTGCATCTTATTGCTTATTAATGATATTCATCCAAAAACATGGAAACCTGAAGAACCTTTGTTATGTCAATGCGGAGGGTGAACTTTTATTGGAGTAAGTGGGGTGGTATGTTGGAATAGGATCTCCATTTATTTTAATTAAAGCAAAGAAACAAATCTGATATTTGGTAACGGTAATGGGAAGTGTCTTGGTTATGTTCGAGCCAAGGATGAAAATGTATTTGTGTTTGCAACAATGCAAAAACCTCCACTTTGCAAAATAATTATTGGGTTGGAAATGCCATCAACACAATTGCTGGACAATAGTGCATACAGTGTATATTGTGCTTATACAAAATGTCCACAGGGTACCATTGTTAAGGAATATAGGAAATTTATGCGTTTTCCAAATTCTGCATTTCATGCTTCACTAGTTTTCACTGTACTGTTATTGGGGCCTCACTAACATAGTAAGATAACAAATGATGCACCTTTCTCACTAGGAGTTTCTCTAACCTAGTTTCAGCACTGCTGCATGACATATTACAAAGTTACTTATTTAGTTTTCTTTATGGTGCATTTTACACAAGCTCCTACCGTATGTGACATTAAATGAATATTTGAAGAGTAGACATAAATGCAACATCATTGTGTCTTTGCTTTAAACCAATATGCTGCCTGTTTAGCCTTCACATGTATTATTGACTTTAATATATTGTATTGTTTTTGTTTGGTTTGTTTGTACATCTGGAGTATTGCATAGTTGTGATGTGACTGTGTATCAAATGATTTCTTTAATGTAAATGATTGAATGAGATAATGTTTCCTATGCATTTATTTAACATACGATCCAATACTGATGAAAATAGCCTTAAAAAGAAAGCTCAGCTTACTTCATCTTATACATTTTTTTATCTAAATTATGTAATTTTTTGGTGCACTAAGGTTAAAATATGTCCTAAAAGAATAATAACATTATCTTGTCTTACGACAACGGGATGCAGCAACTATTAATGTGTCCTGAAATGCAATCTTTTACAGATGATTATAATTTGGCAAATCTTTTCAAATTGAAAGCTCAAATATTTTAAGAATTAAATGAATTATTTTCTTAAGATATATACACATTTTCCTGCACCATCATTCAATAACCATGGCAACATCTGAGAAAAATCCAACATCATTTTAATCATTTTAAGTCCAACCAAATAAATCAATCCCAATTTTACCCCTATCAAATGTATTATTATATATTGAAAATCACAAATATAATAATGTGTATAGCATCATAAATAGCTTCGTGTGAGCCACCAGTTACTGTTACTCTATTCGTCGATGTAAGGGAATTTCTTGTTCGCTCCATATCCTGAGTGCCCTGGTTTGGCTTTAGCCACTTCCTGTTTGACTTCTTTCTCTGGTTGACTTTGAGGTGAGTCTGTGGAGCCGCTCGCCTGGTAGCCTGTTAGAGACACTGAAATATAATGTCATATTAATATAAAATGAGGTTAAAATCCATACAGAAGTACAAAGGTACCATCACTTTATTCTACTTAACTATGAGTCAATCTTTCATGTTTTCAGTATTTGACTCACTTGGAACTTTTGGAGCATCTGTCCCGCACTTCAGTGTGCTTTGAGAAAAGCACTCTGCCATCCAGGACAACACCTCTCCGCAATATCTGACCTAGAGACGAAGCAGAATGACTGAGGGTAATGCAAACTGTCACAGTACAAGTTAGTATGAAATATGTTACTGCAACTTGATTATGTGCTTTTGAAGTCACTTTTACCTGAGCCTCCATGGACTGCTGTCGTTTCTCCTGGTCCTTGAACCCACCGACAATCCTCAGCAAGCTCTGAACCCTTGGTCACAATAAAAAAAACAGTTATAATCAAATTCAATGCTGCACCATCAAAAATTAAAATCACCACAAGGGGGCAGAAGAGCTTTAACTTTAATATTGCTAACTGGAGTGCCTGCAGATCCTAGATGTCTACTTTCTGTAGACAGATTTGATTTATTTAGAATCTGTTCCAAGTGACCTGATATCTTTGTTTTGTGTTTCTTTTCTAACAAGTGCCTTCACTTGTTTAAAAAAAAAAAAATGTTATTCCACACATGTAGTTTAAAATATGTAACATTTATTGATTTCAAGTTTGTCATGATTTATACTATCAGACTGTATCTGATGGGAAGGGGGGGTCCACTCTCAGTTATTTTGGAAGAGGGTCAGATGCAGCAGATGCCTGTGGAGGGTTGGTGGTTTGATCCCTCGCCCCTCTATGAACGCTTGTTTGTGGATAAGTGAAAGTTTGCAATGTGTAAGAGCTTTGCGTGGTCAATGAGTCATTCACACAGATTTCCTCCATTTTCTTTTAACATTATTATGCACATTTTCACTGTAACCTTTTGTTAAGTCATAATATTTTGTGTTTGTAATGTATTGTGACCAAATGCGTTGTTATATTTTATGATAAAGTGTTGTAGGATGAGGGTTACACAAGGACCACTTTGACACATTACATGCTAAAAAGATGATATCTTCTGATACTCCTTTTACATTGCAAAACATTACTTTGAAGAGGTGCTCTTGAGTCTCTCCTCGCTGCTCTCCCAATGCTGCCGCTCCAGCTTGGCCAGGTAGTTCTCTTTCTGCACCGTCTCCCATGTTATCAGCCTCTGGTCTAGCCCCTCCGGCAGCTCCCTCTCTGGTAAAAAAAAACACACACACACACACACACACACACACACACACACACACACACACACACACACACACACACACACACACACACAGGGAGGCAGTCCAACAATCAATTCACCAACAGGCAATTTCCATGAATAGAACAGGTGAAGGACAGAGATAAGCACGCAATTTGTTTCCAGTGTTTCATTTAGCCAGTTAATTGTTTCAATATCTGTTTGGAATAATGGCTAAATAGTGCGTAGTGGATATATATTTCAATACACAGACATAACATTCATACCAAGATGCTCCTGCTTGGACGCAGGCCTTTTGATCAGGCTAAGGAAGAGCTGAGAGAGGTGGCTGATGATGATGAAGGGTGGGGCGAGTGCTGGGCGGCTGTGGTACTCCACTATCAGGTTGTACCTCTGGAACTTCCAGAAGATGTCTGTGTTACCCTGCACTATCTGGAATGTGTAGCTGTAAGAAAAAAAAAACAGTAAAATCAATGTTTTGGGGGATTTTATGTTGTGTAAATAAGTCAATTGCAAACGGCTTTATGTATTCCCATCCTCTGACCTGAACATGGCAATTAGCAGGTTTAGCAGCAGGACATTGGTGACAAGAAGGAAGATAACCAGCAGCAGGATGACCAGCCAGTTGGCATAGACGTTGGGACATGGCGGCCGTAGGCCCAGGATAATCTCCTCGGAGTTATTGGTGCAGTTGATGTCAGGCATGTGAGCAGCTGTGCTCCGTTAATGAAAGAACAAAAACATGTGAGTAGAGGGAACAAAAACATTCAGGCTAACACAGCATCCCTGATTGCACACAATTAAAATATAACATTCAACGTTTACACATGAGTGAACAGACCGGATCTGAAATTCTTGTCTTCTGGATACAATGACAAAAAAAGAATATCATGTAGTTTACCATCTATGTGCTCTAAAGGGATCTGGCCAAAGATGTGCAGGTAGGGGCGGTACAAGGCCCTGCGGAACACCCAGTCAATCCTCGGGTCATTGGGGTGGAGAAGAGCCTGCGTGGCGACGCCATACGCAATCATCCACACGCTCAGGAAAAACAGGAAGAAGAAAACGTCCTTTATCTGTTGGGAAAACACACACGTTTGTATTGTATTGTTATCATGGACATCTGAGGGTTGTCAAATGTACAGTTTATTTTATTGTGAAGAATCATCATGGTGAGGTTTTTTTCTTATCCTATCACAAAAATGTTGCTATATCTGTATTGTATATTATTCAAAATGCTAACTAATAAATACAGATTAGCAGAAGCAAATGTGGTTGTAAGGCCAGAGAGAGGTTGTGTGGGTTAATTCCCCAGGCCCTAAGCCTTCTGGAAAGATGGCCCCCTGAAAAATATGGTTGAAAAGCCCCAATCTGAAGTCTCAAGTCTGAACACAACTTGAAGATCACATAGTAAGAAATGCTTATATATGTTATAAAGTAGTGCTTTTATCACCATTCTTTCCACAATGATGATCTTGGGGCCAAGCTGCTTATAAATGGCAAAGATGTGGATCAGACGCAGAGTGAAAACCATGAAGTCGATCGCCAGAACTGTCCTTCCTGCTTCATAAGTTTTCTTCGCCATCCTACAGGGTCAACGAAAACAGACATTACTGTGTGGACTACTTCCCATTCAGTGACTCATTTATTATATCCTAGACCTTCATGGCAACACATCTAGAGCATCTGCACTGCTGTGTTGTGTTAACAATGTCAATGAAGATCATTTACCTGCATGAAACCCCAACGACAAAGAGTGAGATTGCAACCATGTCGCTCTTGTTCCAGTTGTCCTCCACATAAAGTTTGAACTTCTTCAAGATGTTCATCTCTTCGTCCGTGAAGAAGCTCTGTGTCATTAAAGAGAAACGTTCATTCATCATTACACATCATGTACGCTTTTGAAACATTACAAAAAGGTAGTTCATTAGTAAACCAGAGCCAGTCATTTTTCACAACATTAACTTTGCTTTCTTTTCTACATCTATCATATTTGAGCATATTGTGTGCTTTAGTAGCATTAGTCATTGGGTAGAAAGCAACTTGTATAACAGTTTAGCTTTTTTACGAATTTTATTTTAAAGGTAATACAACTTCTATGTCTATAGAGCTTTGTAGACATACATATGTTTTGTAATCCGCTTATACCAAGGCATTTTTATAATTATTAGCCATCATGATTTCGAAAAAAAACTCTTTATGAAGCATTTCTATGTATAATGACTTACAATGTCAAGTATTATAGCACTTCATTGTACACTGCGAAGATCATTCCCAGAGTTGTAATACATTTTAATATTTTATTATGTCCTATTTTGCATTTGAACCATATCCTTTATGCAGTATAACTATATGTAATGCATTTTCTGTATTAATATTGAATTAGTAGAATACAAAAATATTCAAATATATATATAATAATATAATCATATAATATTTGCAGTAAAAGTATACATGGCACTATTATCATGTTTGTATTGTGGTTTTGCTAATAGTAAGTATATAGTAAGTAATTTGACCTAATACGTCATTTTACTTTATATCGAGTTAAAATAATTGTTATGAATTGTTATAAATATAACGAGAGCTTATACTGTAACTATAGTAACACACTGCTCAAATAACATTATCAAGCATGATATACATGTGCTAATGATTATAATGTATTATAGACATAGTAATTGCAAGTGTTACTATTGAAATATACGATATACAAGTTTTAATGTGTTGATTGATACCTTTTTTGAAAATATTGTGACACTAACATAACATGTTGTACTATGGGACTGAAGTATAAAAAGCATTACTTCAGAAAACATGTTTCTAAATGTCCTATTCAGACACACCTTCAGGGCCAAAGGGAGTTATCAGGTACACAGCAGTGTCCACAACTCTCAGCCCTGTAAGATGTTTCTTGCACTTAGAGCAGAAGGTGAAGTTGTCTCCTGTGGTTCAAACAGTAAAAGTGCATCAAGAAAACAGTGCTTGGTCCCAGGATGGAAAAATTGGTTAGAGGACAAGCTGAGGAAAGCATGTTGCTTTCATAAAGTGATAGACTGAGTGTCCTAACCTACGTACTCTACAGGCCACATTTGTATAATCAGCACTACCACAAGTGCTTAATTCAACCGTTATAGTTCAAAGTTTAAGTGGGTTTAAGAGACAGTATTATTGCACAAAAGAATGAAATAAAAGCGGTAGGGGAGTCAGGACTTCCTTGGCATTTCATC